CCAGAATTTTGGTGACAAAGATAACGATAATTTCCTCAAGTAAATGTTTGAAATACTCTTGAATCATAATCAAAATATATTTAAAAGCTTCATTATATGGTTTTTAACTGTTTGAAAAGTAAAAGATTTCCATCAGTTTTTGACAACTTTCCTAAGCCTATGGTCTTGGTTTTTGCCAGAATTTTGGTGACAAAGATAACCACAATTTCCTCAGGTAAATGTTTAAAATACCCTTGAATCATAATTAAATCATGTTTAAAAGATACTTTATGTGGTTTGCAACTGTTTGAAAGCTAAAAAAATTCAATCAATTTTTAGCAATTTTGCTAAGCCTATAGCCTTGGTTTTTTGCCAGAATTTTGGTGACAAAGAAATAGATAATTTCCTCAGGTAAATGTTTCAAATACCCTTGAATCATAATCAAAATATATTTAAAAGCTTTTTTTCTATCGTTTTTAGCTGTTTGAGAGCTAAAAAAATTCAATCAATTTTTAGCATTTTTACTAAACCTATAGCCTTGGTTTTTTGCCAGAATTTTGGTGACAACAATAACGATAATTTCCTCAAATAAATGTTTGAAATACCCTTGAATCATGATTAAATCATGTTTAAAAGATACTTTATGTGGTTTGCAACTGTTTGAGAGCTAAAATGTTTCAATCAATTTTTAGCAATTTTACTAAGCCTTTAGCCTTGGTTTTTTGCAAGAATTTTGGTGACAAAAATAACGATAATTTCCTCAGGTAAATGTTTGAAATACCCTTGAATTATAATCAAAATATATTTAAAAGCTTCATTATATGGTTCTTAACTGTTTGAAAGGTAAAAAAGTTCCATCAATTTTTGACAATTTTCCTAAGCCTATAGCCTTGGTTTTTTGCCAGAATTTTGGTGACAAAGATAACGATAATTTCCTCAAATAAATGTTTGAAATACCCTTGAATCATGATCCAAATATATTTAAAAGCTTTTTTGAATGGTTTTTAGCTGTTTAAAAGCTAAAAAATTTCCATTAATTTTTGACATTTTTCCTAAGCCTATAGCCTTGGTTTTTTGCCAGAATTTTGGTGACAAAAATAAGGATAATTTCAACAAATGAATTTTTGAAATACCCTTATAACATGACTAAATCATATTTAAAAGCTTTTAGCTGTTTGAAAGGTAAAAAAGTTCCATCAATTTTTAGCATTTTTACTAAGCCTATAGCCATGGTTTTTTGCCAGAATTTTGGTGACAACGATAACGTTAATTTCCTCAAATAAATGTTTGAAATACCCTCGAATTATAATTAAATCATGTTTAAAAGCTACTTTATGTGATTTGCAACTATATGAAAGCAAAAAAATTTCCATTAATTTTTGACATTTTTCCTAAGCCTATAGCCTTGGTTTTTTGCCAGAATTTCGGTGACAAAGTTAACGATAAATTTCTCAAATATATGTTTGAAATACCCTTGAATCATAATCAAAATTTATTTAAAATCTTTTTTCTATTGTTTTAGCTGTTTGCGAGCTAAAAAACTTCCATCAATTTTTAACAATTTTCCTAAGCCTATAGCCATGTTTTTTTGCCAGAATTTTGGTGACAACGATAACGTTAATTTCCTCAAATAAATGTTTCAAATACCCTCGAATTATAATTAAATCATGTTTAAAAGCTACTTTATGTGATTTGCAACTATATGAAAGCAAAAAAATTTCCATCAATTTTTGACAATTTTCCTAAGCCTATAGCCTTGGTTTTTTGCCAGAATTTTGGTGACAAAGATAAGGATAATGTCCGCAAGTAAATGTTTGAAATACCCTCGAATCGTGATTTAATCATGTTTAAAGGATACTTTATGTGGTTTGCAACTATATGAAAGCTAAAAAATTTCAATTAATTTTTAGCAATTTTCCTAAGCCTATGGCCTTGGCTTGCTGCTAGAATTTTGGTGACAAAAATAAGGATAATTTCAACAAATGAATTTTTGAAATACCCTTATAACATGACTAAATCATATTTAAAAGCTTTTAGCTGTTTGAAAGGTAAAAAAGTTCCATCAATTTTTAGCATTTTTACTAAGCCTATAGCCATGGTTTTTTGCCAGAATTTTGGTGACAACGATAACGTTAATTTCCTCAAATAACTGTTTGAAATACCCTCGAATTATAATTAAATCATGTTTAAAAGCTACTTTATGTGATTTGCAACTATATGAAAGCAAAAAAATTTCCATCAATTTTTGACAATTTTCCTAAGCCTATAGCCTTGGTTTTTTGCCAGAATTTTGGTGACAAAGATAACGATAATTTCCTCAAGTAAAGGTTTGGAATACCCTCGAATCATAATCAAAATATATTCAAAATCTTCTTTATATGGTTTTTAACTGTTTGAAAGGTAAAAGATTTCCATCAATTTTTGACAACTTTCCTAAGCCTATTGCCTTGGCTTTTTGTCAGAATTCGGTGATAAAAATAATTAATAATTTTTTCAGGTGAATGTTTCAAATACCCTTGAATCATAATTAAATCATGTTTAAAAGCTACTTTATGTGGTTTGCAATTATATGAAAGCTAAAAGATTTCCATCAATTTTTGACAATTTTTCGAAGCCTATAGCCTTGGTTTTTGCCAGAATTTTGGTGACAAAGATAACGATAATTTCCTCAAGTAAATGTTTGAATTACCCTTGAATCATGATCCAAATATATTTAAAAGCTTTTTTGAATTGTTTTTAGCTGTTTTAAAGCTAAAAAATTTCCATTAATTTTTGACATTTTTCCTATGCCTATAGCCTTGGTTTTTTGCCAGAATTTCGGTGACAAAGTTAACGATAAATTTCTCAAATATATGTTTGAAATTTCCTTGAATCATAATCAAAATATATTTAAAATCTTTTTTCTATCGTTTTTAGCTGTTTGCGAGCTAAAAAACTTCCATCAATTCTTAACAATTTTCGTAAGCCTATAGCCATGGTTTTTTGCCAGAATTTTGGTGACAAAGATAAGGATAATTTCCTCAAGTAAATGTTTGAAATACCCTCGAATCGTGATCAAATCATGTTTGAATACTACTTTATAATATTTGCAACTATATGAAAGCTAAAAAATTTCCATTAATTTTTGACATTTTTCCTAAGCCTATAGCCTTGGTTTTTTGCCAGAATTTCGGTGACAAATTTAACGATAAATTTCTCAAATATATGTTTGAAATACCCTTGAATCATAATCAAATATATTTAAAATCTTTTTTCTATCGTTTTTAGCTGTTTGCGAGCTAAAAAACTTCCATCAATTTTTAACAATTTTCCTAAGCCTATAGCCATGGTTTTTTGCCAGAATTTTGGTGACAAAGATAACGATAATTTCCTCAGGTAAATGTTTCAAATACCCTTGAATCATAATTAAATCATGCTGAAAAGCTACTTTATGTGGTTTGCAATTATATGAAAGCTAAAAGATTTCCATCAATTTTTGACAATTTTTCTAAGCCTATAGCCTTGGTTTTTGCCAGAATTTTTGTGACAAAGATAACGATAATTTCCTCAAGTAAATGTTTGAAATACCCTTGAATCATGATCCAAATATATTTAAAGCTTTTTTGAATTGTTTTTAGCTGTTTTAAAGCTAAAAAATTTCCATTAATTTTTGACATTTTTCCTAAGCCTATAGCCTTGGTTTTTTGCCAGAATTTCGGTGACAAAGTTAACGATAAATTTCTCAAATATATGTTTGAAATACCCTTGAATCATAATCAAAATTTATTTAAAATCTTTTTTCTATTGTTTTAGCTGTTTGCGAGCTAAAAAACTTCCATCAATTTTTAACAATTTTCCTAAGCCTATAGCCATGTTTTTTTGCCAGAATTTTGGTGACAACGATAACGTTAATTTCCTCAAATAAATGTTTCAAATACCCTCGAATTATAATTAAATCATGTTTAAAAGCTACTTTATGTGATTTGCAACTATATGAAAGCAAAAAAATTTCCATCAATTTTTGACAATTTTCCTAAGCCTATAGCCTTGGTTTTTTGCCAGAATTTTGGTGACAAAGATAAGGATAATGTCCGCAAGTAAATGTTTGAAATACCCTCGAATCGTGATTTAATCATGTTTAAAAGATACTTTATGTGGTTTGCAACTATATGAAAGCTAAAAAATTTCAATTAATTTTTAGCAATTTTCCTAAGCCTATGGCCTTGGCTTGCTGCTAAAATTTTGGTGACAAAAATAAGGATAATTTCAACAAATGAATTTTTGAAATACCCTTATAACATGACTAAATCATATTTAAAAGCTTTTAGCTGTTTGAAAGGTAAAAAAGTTCCATCAATTTTTAGCATTTTTACTAAGCCTATAGCCTTGGTTTTTGCCATAATTTTGGTGACAAAGAAAAGGATAATTTTCTCAGGTAAATGTTTCAAATACCCTTGAATCATGTTTAAATCATGTTTAAAAGTGACTTTCTATGTTTTACAACTGTTTCAAAGCTAAAAAATTTCCATCAATTCTTGACAATTTTCCTAAGCCTATAGCCTTGGTTTTTTGCTTGAATTTTGGTGACAAAGATAAGGATAATTTCCTCAAGTAAATGTTAGAAATACCCTTGAATCATGATTAAAATATATTTAAAAGCTTCTTTCTATGGTTTACAACTGTTTGAAAGCTAAACATTTTACGTCAATTTTTGACAATTTTCCTAAGCCTATAGCCTTGGTTTTTTGCCAAAATTTTGGTGAGGAAAATAACGATAATTTCCTGAGGCACATCTAATAGAACATCTGCTGCAAACAGGAATGGAGAGTGTCAGTTTTAGCTGTTATGGTATCTGATGGCAACACGTCTTTTTAACTGAATTGAACGTATTATGTTTTAATCAAATGACTAATTGCGACTACAATATAACGTTAATAAATCATTTATATAAAAATATCCCAAAGGTGAAAGAATTCTATTTCTACTTCAAACGGTGTAGCCTTACAGCTTTAGTGCGACAAAATTCTTTAGACAATTTTAAATACATGTTTTGTAAAAAATATCTTTTTGCGAATAAAGATCAACAAACTTTTGCAAACCCCAAATAATTTGATAAAATTCGAATAAAATACAAAATATTTATGTTATATGGTGGGTCAAATGATTTATTAAATTCGATAAATCAATCTTTATACATTTCTGCTTTTTTATGGTGACTTACCCCCTATAAAATATATCTTTAATAGACATAAACGTAAACTAAAAATCAAACAAACTAGTTTACAAAAAGGCTACAAATTAAGAAATATTGCTATGAAACTACGAGAAAAGGAATTACTCCACTGATTAAATGCTTTATCTGAAAAAGCAGGGTTCAAACTATTTCGGGCTATCACTGATTAAACGGTGAAATTTAGGCTGCATAGATAGTAACGTACCTTGAAATAAACGTGTGATCAGAGCATTTATTTTTGTACTGGTTCGCTTGTTTACTTGAGATGAATCATTTGATCAGATGTCTAAAGAAAAAGGATTCTTCTATATGAGTTTTTGTTGCATTTTGGCCAGACGTATTCTAAGTAGTTTGTCCCAGTTTGTTCAATTTTAGATGGCAACTTTAAAAGTATCATTTGGATTTTCAACTTGAATGAAAACATCAAAAAATCTATTATTTACCGATCGAAGTTCAGCGGGCTTATCATTAACAAGCTGTTATAACTCACGTTTTCCTACAGAAGAATGTTTACTCTTAAAGGCAATCTGTCACGACGTTGATTGATTATAAGAACAAAGGGACTTTTTATTGTTTCCAGTCCCCCTTTCATTTATCGCATTGTAAAAAATATGGCAGAGCGCTGGAATCGTGTTTAGGCTATTGTTCCAGCTATTGTTCTCGTTAACCAATCCACAACGAGACAGATTGCCTTCAAATAAGGGTTATACAAAAGTCGCAAGCTTTGATTTGTTTTTATCCCCTGTCTTCTTCACAAGTTCCCTGCTGCGTGGCTCCCTCGCTGCAAGGTCTTCGTCTGTAGATTCGGATGATCGACTCTTTCTTCCTGTAATTGCATACGCGCTTCCGTTCTGATGGCGATCCCTAGCAAAAAGGGTATCGTCCTCCAACACAATGGGAATAGGACTTCCAATGATGGCGAACGAAGATCCTTCACTGATTAGGCGTGATCGATTCCCGGTCACAGCGAAAGTACACCCGTCTTCGGATTCAACAACAGTGTCACTGCTAGACAGTTCAGACTCGGAGACCTGTCCCTTAACACTACCGGTCAATGCAAATAAACTGCCATCTTCTGATTCTGGAATGGTTTCTGCTTCTGATAAATCAGATTCCTTTGAATGCGGCAGTGGACTGCCAGCCACCGCAAATGTACTCCCATCTTCCACCGCGAAGCCATTTTCACGCAAATGAGATCTAAACGAAGCTCTAGGAGATACACTTGGGCTTGCTGTTATTGCAAAGGCACTTCCATCTTCTGACTCTGTAAACGTCTCAGTACCAGATATTTCAGAGTCTTCTTGGTGGCCAAACTGTGTGGCAGATAATTTCTGTCGTTTCATTATAACTCTTGGCACATCTCTGCTCTGCCTCGACCTAGATCTTCTAAAAGGCGTTTTTTTGCCCTTCCCAACTTCAGAATCATTAGTTGTATCTAATACACTATCCTCAGTTTCTGCTTCACCATAAACCTGCCTTCCCTTTGAAAACAAATAGGCTGATACCTTCGCATTGCCCTTTAATTCTTCGACACCAAGCGGTAACTTCTCTATCGCAGAACTTTTTGTGGCATCACCAACATCTATGATCTCACTTGTTTTAATTTCGATACCTCTAAATTCCTGCGACTTTAGACTGTCATTTTCACGGAGGCTTTTTTGCCATTTTTCTTCTAATAGTTTTCTTCGACTCATAACACCAAAATCTTTTTTGATTTGAATTCTATCATCACCTCCATCTGTCTTCTTGAATACTGGTGGTATTTTCAACGCCTTTGCTTCAGTTTGCCTCTTATCTTTTTCTGGTCTTGACACTTTCCTATCTCCTTCAGCTCTCGCTCTTTCTGAAACCCTTCCATGTACCTGACGTTTCACCTTAATATCAACTTCTTGATAAAAAGCAGGCATGCTTCTGGACGATTCAAGTGAATACTTACTAGTCACTGTCTGATATATAACAGACACAGTTTTGTCTTGAACGAGCCTTAACTGACACGGAAGAGATAGCATGGCTGTTTCATAATTCGATTTAATGTCTATTTCACTTGCATCCATCCTGTTCTCGGCTTTCGGCTCGAAACTAGAGACAGCAGCAGGCGATTCGAAGAACCGTAAAGTCAAAACCCATGGCAGTGTCCTCAATGATCTTTTAAAAAGCAAAACCTCGGTGCAATGTCTCGTTGGGTGTGTCTTTGCAGAAAAGTAGACTTTGTCAGCTAAACAGTTATCTAAGTCTAATTCTTTTTTATCGTTCATCCAATTATCTTGTATCATATCTTCTTCTTGCTTTGAACGATGTACACTATTCTCAATAGCAGTATCTTTATACGAAGGAAAATTTTCTTCAAAGATTACAATCTCAGGAACCAGATTCTCCAAAGCAATCTGATCAAACTCTGGAACAGTATCATCATATTTTGATATATGAGACTCCAGCTCTGTTACAGGCAAAACATATTCCATGCCTGCTTCTTGCACATGTATGCCATTCACCAAAATATCTTTATCTGTGCTAACGAATGCCTGTAAACTTGCCATGGTTTCGAATTCTAGCGTCACTGTCCTCTCCTCAACTGCAACATATCGCCCTAAAATTTCTATGTCTATTTGTGATTTTTCTCCTTTTTGCATAGACTTACATTCTGGATCAACTGGACGATCATGAATGTAACATACGGAGAAAAATTTGAAAGGATTCAACCTGGAAGGCGTTTTTCGAGTAAACTCGAATGTTGAGGTAAATAGTTCCAATTTCCGAGTTTTCATTTGGCTCAAAATTTCATTATCTTTAATTTTTCTTCTCATTTCTATCATTTTCAAATACTCCTCTATTGGCATGTCTTTCAGTTCCTCGTCTTCTTTCATCATTTCTAAATATTCTTCGACAGTCTTATCTTTGGGTTCCTTATCTTTATTCAAAATTGCTAAATATTCTTCAACAGTCACATCTTTTGGCTCCCGAACTTTCTTCATCATTGCTAAATATTCTTCAACAGTTTGATCTTTGGTATCCTGATCTTCCCTCATCATTGACAAATATTTTTCGACAGTCATATCTTTTGGTTCCTGATCTTCCTTCATCATTGACAAATATTCTTCGACAGTAATATCTTTTGGTTCCTGATATTTCTTCATCATTGACAAATATTCTTCGACAGTTATATCTTTTTGTTCCTCATCTTCCTTGATCATTGACAAATATTTTTCGACAGTCATATCTTTTGGTTCCTGATCTTCCTTCATCATTGACAAATATTCTTCGACAGTCATATCTTTTGGTTCCTGATATTTCTTCATCATTGACAAATATTCTTCGACAGTTATATCTTTTTGTGCCTCATCTTCCTTGATCATTGACAAATATTTTTCGACAGTTATATCTTTTTGTTCCTCATCTTCCTTGATCATTGACAAATATTCTTCGACAGTCATATCTTTTGGTCCCTGATCTTCCTTCATCATTGACAAATATTCTTCGACAGTCATATCTTTTGGTTCCTGATCTTCCTTCATCATTAACAAATATTCTTCGACAGTTATATCTTTTGGCTCCTGACCTTCCTTTATCATTGACAAATATTTTTCGACGGTCATATCTTTTGGTTCCTGATCTTCCTTCATCCTTAACAAATATTCTTCGACAGTCATATCTTTTGGCTCCTGATCTTCTTTCATCATTGACAAATATTCTTCAACAGTTATATCATTTGGCTCCCGATCTTCTTTCATCATTGACAAATATTCTTCAACAGTTATATCATTTGGCTCCCGAACTTTCTTCATCATTGCTAAATATTCTTCAACAGTTTGATCTTTGGTTTCCTGATCTTCCCTCATCACTGACAAATATTCTTCGACAGTCATATCTTTTGGTCCCTGATCTTCCTTCATCATTGACAAATATTCTTCGACAGTCATATCATTTGGCTCCCGATCTTCTTTCATCATTGACAAATATTCTTCAACAGTCATATCCTTTGGCTCCTGATCTTCCTTCATCATTGACAAATATTCTTCAACAGTTATATCATTTGGCTCCCGAACTTTCTTCATCATTGCTAAATAGTCTTCAACAGTTTGATCTTTGGTTTCCTGATCTTCCCTCATCATTGCTAAATATTCTTCGACAGTCATATCTTTTGGTTCCTGACCTTCCATTGTAATTATCAATACTTCTACTTGTGTCGCATCCTTCGGTTTTTGATCCTTTTGGTGTATTCTCGAGATTTCGTAAACAAATACATTACGGATAATTCTGTTCAAAACTGTTTCAACAAATTGTTCGATAACTAATCTAGATTTCTTCTCTTGCAAGTCTGGTACTACATTGGCCTTTATTCTGTGCTCTAAATTTTCCTCATCAGCTAGAAAAAAGAAAATAAATCAGGTTTTGATATAAAAAAGACAAATCTGTTAAACCGCAATGCATTGAACCTTGATGATCATGTGGTGTCATAGTATTTTTATTCTCTTGGTTGAACAAGGGATATTTAAGGATTTGACTCAGCGTGAGTCGCGCTTTGATTGGTCAAGCCTCATTGCAAACTTCCTTTAATAACCTCTTAAGCCTGGTTTCAATATAGTCGGAGAGGGTTGTTGAGGGTCGTTGGGGGTTTTTGAGCGTCGTTGGGGGTTTTTGAGGGTCGTTGGGGGTTTTTGAGGGTCGTTGGGGGTCTTTATGAGTCGTTGAAAATTGTTATCTGTGACATGTTTACATATGGTCGCTAAGGGTCGTTGAGAGTCTTTGGCAGTCTTTATGAGTCCCAATGATGGAAACCGGGGATGGGTTTTGCTGACAGTAAAGATGCAAGTGGGAATGTTATTCCAGGGGATTGGAGAGAGTCAGTGAGCATTGAAGACCCTGGGATGACAAATTTGACTTTGCCGATATAAATTTACCGCTGGAAACATAAGAAACAAGTTGAAACATTATTTTAATAGTGCAAGCGGGCAGGTTTCATGGCAGATACTGCATGTGAGAGATTGCGGAAAAATCAATGCTCCTTTTTAAGAACATGAAACAATACATAATAGTAATGAATAACAGTTATAATAGAAATTGGTATAAAACAGCAACAGCAACAATACTTATAATAACAATAATAATGCTAATTGGACCAATATTAAGTTTACAAGGAAAGATATGATTTAAAATCAACGTTTCAGAGTCAGGTCCTTTCTGAGTATACTGTGTTGAATTTAGAGAGTAAGTAGGCTGTGTTACGCAAAATTGATCATCGACTGGCAAGGAATGAGGGAGAATAGTCCCCCCACTTTTCCAGAAAGTCGGTCCTTGAAATTATTGCAAACCTGATGAGAAAATTTCGGGGGGGGGGGGATATGTACGTTATCTAGATCGTCACATTTAAATGACATTTCTAGGAAGACAAGAGTTGTATCCTCCGGAAAAAATGGCATCGTCCAAAAGGGCGTGGTCATTGACACACCTTTTGCCCCCCCTCCCATTTATCCTAGGCTGGAGCCGCCGCTGCTCGTCCTCATGGTTGTCACTCCCCATCTCCGTCTGCTGCATCGTTGATGCTGCAGAATGACTGGCACTTGAAGAGGTTGATGAAAGATTACACCAGTGTTTCGTATTCAATGGTGCTACATTGGTAGCGTTGTCCTATGCCCTATGCGTGATGAATGACTTGAGCCAATCCATGCCAATAAATTGGGGGGGATCGGCTTTAGCTTCGAATATTCTTGAATTTAATTTCTGTCTCTTTAGCTGATATGCCAAACTTTGTACCAATTTTAGCCAAACTATTAATTTTCTTAAAATTGTCCCGGAACTCTTTACTAAATTTATTGTATAGACAATCATACATCTGAACTTTTGCCATAAAATCAGAAATATTTAAAGTTTCAAGCTCTAAACTGTTATTTTGTTGAGTATCTGCCATCTTGAAATAAACTTGTGATAAGAAAACTAATTTGCATCACAATCATTCTCAGTCGTTTCGAGTCATTGGAATGTTTCGATTAAAATCCCTGGGTCGTTGTCAGTCTTTCTTGGTCCTACCTCAGCGACCCACCACAACGACCGAGTCGTTATGGGTCATTGTGGGTCGCTGTTTGTGATGTCTCCATATAGTCGTTCTTTCAGTTTTACCAACGACCCTTAAAGACGGTCAACGACCTTCAACGACTATATAGAAACCAGGCTTTGTGTAACAGGTATATGGTTGGTTGTGCGCTTTGTGCCTAACTCGCTCTCGATAATGTGGTCAGATAACCTCACGACTGACTTGCCGATGTTTATTACATGCTTGTTGATAGAGAAATCTTAGCCCTACAACTTGTTATGTAACTTCCGTCGAGAGTTACAAAATAAAATGAAGTTAAACTTGTTCTACCCAACCCTTGGCGAGATATCCTAATGCTAGAGCCTAAGGGTTTCTTATTACAAAGGTTCTTCTGTGCCTCCCCGTTTTCTAACCTGTCCAGAACTTTCTACCTAACTACCTTTGCAAAATATTTTAAAGTCTCCATAAAAAGAAATGCCTTTTTCAAGCTTGCTTGTATCGTGAGACAGAAAGTTTCACTTCTGGTTACATTAAATTTGGTTCGAAAAGAACTTTCAGTCTCTTTCAGTCTACAAACCTCCAACAAAACGCTTCGAGTTTTGGTTCGAAGCAGCATACTGGCATTCAAATTTCAATTCCAAGGTTTTTAAGTCAGCATTATCGCTCGGCAGATTGCACTAACTAGCACTGCTCAACAATAAGCACTGCCTAGGTTCCAAAACATCTACAACAGATCGCAGTTTCAGGCAACTATCCTCTGTTTAAAATCGAAGTACCTATTTACAAGAGGTGTCAAAACACCTCATATTCACAAAAATACATGCATCTCTGATAATATTTGTCAAACTGAAAGAACCTTGCCAATTAAGACAATTATATTCTTAAAAGTAGAGAACCGAAAGCTTGTCAAACGATTATGCAAAAGTGACTGGTTTCACCCTGGCAAATAACTTCCTAATTGGAAATTCAGCGAGATTCTTTGAAACTAATGATACAGTTTTAAAATCTCGCACTTTCTCCATTTCCGAAAATTTAGAGAAAAAACCACCTTTCTTAGCCACCTGTCAGTAACATTTGAACATTTTTTAACCTTTTCACTCACCATTAACATAAATAAAAAAATGACATGCAAAATTTGAAATTAAAAAAATCTTGAAATAAAAATAATTAATCATATAAAAAGTGCAGGTTAGTGTGTTAATATAAAAGTAAACCTGGAGGTAAAAACGGATGCGTGTTATTTATGTGTACGTATTAGGAATCTCTGGTATACGAATTGGCGTGTATGTGCGTTTATGGGAACGATGTTTGCGTTTGTGAATGCACATGGTATACAGTCACAAAAACACGTACCCTTGCTTTTTTTCTTTGCTTTTTGAATCCTTCAGTGGCTTAGCGTCCACATCAATCGCAACCTCTCTATATGGCAACACGTTTACACCTCCAAACACCCAAGATCTCCGACTACTCGTTGAATCTAGGCCAATGCCATTTAATTCGGCTAAACTACCAAGAGACTTGGTTCTCTTCAGTCTGCGAACATCTCCAAGCTCGTCATCTGTTAAGGACATGGGTCTCCGTGCCTCCGGACGGCCTGAACTATAAACCAAACGCTGCCGTGTTGCTCGTACCCTTTCCAGTTCGGCTTGTCTTTCTGATACGGAATTACACCTTGCCCGCCTTTCTTCCAAGACATCGGCAAAATCACCTTCAGCTCGAATGCGACGAATTTCTCCAATCTCCTTATTAACTTCATTTCCCTTGTCGTTCTTTGATTTCGTTGGTGTGTAACCAGCGCTCTCTCTGACTTGCCTCACCATCTTGAGTTCTCGCTCGATATCAGATGGCTTCTCCTTCATGGCTTTCACAATACCATCGTCTTCCTTGGGTTCTTGTGGTAAACTATGGCCCCAATTATAAACAAGAGTTTTATATTTGGTGTCTATATCGTCGCAAGCAACGCCGTCTGGCTTTTCGCGGATGATGTTCAACTCCATCTCAATTTCATGCTTCCTCTGTTGCAACGAACTTTCATATCTGTAGCTGTAATCAAAGCTCGCTGAACGCATACTTCTGTTTATCATTTCCAGCTCCTCCTCAAGCCTTTTGCATTTTACGCTGTTTCTTTCGTCAGTACTTGAATCATCATAATCATTCGATTCGGAATCAAAACTCATGCTCCTTCGCAGTTCCCGAACCATTTCAAGTTCGCTATCTATCTCTGATCTGCGGGTAGAGCTGGTATCAGAATTGAAATCTGCAACAATGAATATCTCATCGCTTGAATCTGAGTAACTGGACAACGAGCGATGGCCGCCCTTCCTTTTTATTTCAGGATATACAACAGGTGTGCGTGGCAGGTCATCGGAAAAACTGCCCTCATATTCAGTACGAGGCCCGATAGCATTTGTTTCACTAGCCTTTTTTCTGGCATCTATTATCCTAGAAATTTCATTTTCTGTCTCAGAACTCTTAAAACTTCGTCTTTGTGCCTTTTCTTCCATTTCTAACTCCTTTAAACTATTCTCTCGCATTTTTCGCACCAGTTGCAGCTCTCTCTTCCTCCCTTGCTCAAATATTCTCTGTGATATTTGCTTCGATTCAATATGCTTTCTTGCATTTATTTCTTTCCTTAACTTCCGAACATTTGCTAACTCTTTTTCGATTGCTCGCACTGGTGTCTCGGCTGTTTTCACACTCGCAGACTTTTTCGACCTTTGTAGTTCCTTAACGCCGGGAACAAACGATTCACTACTCCTGAAACCATGACCTTTCGTTTTACTTAGATTTCCGTCCCCCTCTTCATGGCTTCCCCTAGAACCAGTCTCTATAACTGGCGTAACTGAAAGTTCCTCTGTTGCTGTTGATAATGGATCTGCCACTTCAAAACCACGAGTTAACAAGTCTTTATTTTCCGCGTTTTTATTGACAGAAATGTCTGAAATATTTGCTATATCTGTGGAAATTTCTAAATATTCAGAAACATTTTCTGTTTTTCCTTTTCTTGGCGTGCTTGTGCAAACTGTCATTTCATTTGCATCAATATCTTTAAAACCTGTCTGGTTTTCGTTAGTCGCTTCACTGTTTTCCAACGTGGGCAACACAGAGCTCATAGAACCGTTTTGAAATGAATAAGAACATGCGTGCTCCATCTTAACTTTGCTTGCAGTCGGTTGAGCCGTTTTCACTTCAATTTTGTTATCACTCATATCTTCATCAGCCAAAAATTTTACGCTTAGAATGATATCTTCCTGTAAATCATCGAAACCTAGGCCATGTATTTCACATTCAATTGTCATTTCAGCTCTGATACCATCATCGCACTGTTTAACGTTATTCTTCGAATCATCTTTACTAAAAATCTCGCAATCTGCAATAAATAGCATTTGAAATATTGCATTTGATAATGTTCATATTGACAATTTCAAGAGAGCTCTAACCATCAGCCAAGCAGTTCCAAATTGTATTCATGGTCGAAATTCCAGTAAAACAATAAACTTAACAGTGCGTTTAAGGATAACAATAAAATTTACAGTTAACAGCTTAACCAATGTTTAAATTAGTAATTAATATTGTGCATGGTTCAAAAGAAGGAAAAAATGATAGTTGTAAAAATATCGATACAGTAGAGAATTTTTATCATAGAAGCTTCCGAAAATTCAGTTAAAGGTTTAATTTTTTCCACAGACCAATCCAGAGTTGTGCACAACGTGGCATGAAAAGTATGCATAACTTGAGATTTGACCGCAGCGCTGTTTGTGAGCTGTTTACGCAATCACCAGAGAAACAAATTAGCTACATGGTAAACAAAAGAGACATAAATCCAACAAAGAAAGTACGAGGACATAAACTCTGAAAAGAGCTATTGAAAATAATATAATAGGGCACCGGGGAATCAACAGTATGCATGGTGAAGGCGTTTTCACTGAAGCGGCAAGGAAAGATAGTCAAGAGTAAAAGCCAAGAAAGAAAAAAACCACTGAAATCTGCAAACATAGTCAATTCTCCAGTCAACCGAGACAGGAGCATTCCGTTCGTTCCTCTCAGTTTAATGACGTCATAGATCTTAATCTCGAGTGTTCCTCCCGTTCTCTAAAGAATATTCATTATCATGGAAATAATTCCTATTTTGATTAAACATTATCAGTGATTAATTTCCATCATCAGTTCAAATTGAATTTATTATCGATCATCAATCTTAGCTAAGACCTAAGCGTCTTCCAATGTTTTAAAGAAAATCTCCAAATAAAATCTATATTTTTACTTATTACGTTCATGCAAACCACACAAATGTTACTTTTGTATGAAAATTCATTAATATTGTATATTTGCGTATATTCGTTCACAAACTTTATCTTTCCTCTCTCGCTTCCTAATCATTTCTCCTTTTCTCTTGTCCGGGCCTAGTTTGAGGCTCGTGAGCCTTTCCCTAACATCACCAATTAAAAACAAAAATAAGTGATGTCTTTCACAAATTCTGTCTAACACGATACCTTACACGTCTTTAAAACGCTTAGGTGAAACCAAATTCTCAAAAATCAAGCAACCTCCAAGAAATATTTAATAGGAATATTTATGGAATATGGAGGTAACTTAGCGCACGAGATTTTCCCGCAAAACTGCAGACAATACGCAAAACAGTCGTTCAACTCAAGCTCACTGCCCTCGAAAAAGCCAAGTTAAAGATGGATAACTCTGTGCAGCCTAATTACGCAATTAAAATTCTACAGATTCTGGTGCTTTATTCAAACCGCAAAATCATTTCATTTTCAAACTTTGTGTTTGCTCCAAAAAATGCTTCTCGAAGATTTGAGACATGACACACCTCAAAATTATCACAATGTGGCAATGATTTTGCGAAGGTGCTTCTCTATAGCAGATATAATCATAGGATCAATCGATGCATTAAACATTTCTTTTCTAAGAAGTCTTTTGCAAAATTAAAGATTTTCCGTAATGTACGACCCCTTAAAATTTCCTGAAGCATTATCACGACCCTCTATCACTTACGATATTGATGGTAGGCCTGCCTCCAAATAGGCAACTGCATGCCTTCAATAATAATTAATAATAATAAATAAAACTGTATTGAACGCTTACCCGTCCAAATTCCAGTATATATTTGCCGAAACAGGGCATTGATAAATAGCGTGCATTTCACACGAAACGTGTCCTAACTTCCTTGCTTTCCGAAGAATTCTATGGCTTCTCGAGACACAAAAGTTGGTTAATCACAGCTTAACAGAGCAGCAATCAGCCGTGTCAGGGACAAAAACCCTTTAAATGGGTTACGGCACAGACAAATACGAAATACATTTTATACCCCCATTCTTTCGATAACAGCGACTGAATGCATCATAATAATCATAATCGAAATCATCGTAAAATTGAGTTGAAAACAACGTTCAACGAGTGAATAGGTCTGATGTGCCATACTGCTATAAAAGTCGTAGGAAATCATATATCGCAAAACATGCTTACGATGGTGACCGACAGTGTATGGTTTTCCGTTGATTTCAACCTACCCTTTTCTGACCCCAACTCCTTCAGCTGCGACAACCCACGCAGCCCACTCGCGAAAGCCTCCTCTTTTTGAGCAAGTAGGCTATTTTCAGTGGTGTAGGAGTCGGGGGGCCTAGGGCTGGGGCATGCGCCCCAACTCTTCAAACAACGGTGAAAAGTGCCCCTGATGCATGACATTACAATACAAAACGATGCACCTTTTTCATTTTGTACTCTTACCTTTCAACACTTCTAACCCACTGCTCTTGTCCTTTTAGTTGCCACGCCCCACGTTCTTTTATAACTGCCATTCCTATAGCATGCCCATAGAAACCCTCTCAACCACAACACCACACTGTAGATGTAATCACATTTGTTTTCTTTTGCGGCTGAGGCCCTCATTACACTCTTTTCTTTTTATAAGAACAATTTGATAAGAACACGAGCCTCAAAATTGGTCAAAAGTTAACAACAAATCAAAAACTAGCTGAGGCTGAGCTTCTGCAAAATGCAATTTTGAACAAGGTTTTACTTCTATATCTATCACATTTGTTTTCTTTATTTCGATCATTCACAGCCCATACAGAGGGGGAGGGCCGGTTAAGTTGTGTACGGGAGGGGGGTGGCAGCCAGAATTATCATTTCCAGAAATGAACCGATAATGATAGCATCTATGCGAATTTTAGAAATTTGTCGTAATTTGGATCTGGCGCGCAAACCAAACAGCCTGAGATCAATCTTGAATTAACTTTCCTTTCTTTAGTTTGCAACAATTAATCAGACCTGCTAAAACTGTTTCATAACATAGGCCTTATCATGAAGTGACAAGGTCCCTTTATGTTTTTAAAGCAGCTTAATGTACAATGCTGCAAAGATCGCTATAACTGTCAAACACGAGGACTGAGTCACTGACAATAACATATGGTCCCTGTGCTGTGCTCTGCAGGAGAAATCGACGTGAAAAAATAACAGAGCTGCTCATAACTCTTCAAATTGTTGGTTTCTAGACAAAAAACCCTGCTTCCCGTTCTCTTTCATAATGAAAAAAAAATTACAACAATAATCTCGTATATACCAGCCAACTCCTCATCCTCCTTTCGTCTTTACTGCATTTTATCCCAAGCAAAAGGTTACAAATTTATGACAAAGACGCAAAAACCAGGTTCTAATTCTCCCTATTGTCTTTCACCTCCAAACTTTCACAAGCCCAATAAATGTAAATATATGGAAAATGGAAAGGTTCTCGGATGTAAAAGAAATAACTAATTAAAAAAAAAATTCAGAAGCACAAACTTACCATCCTTATTGAGCTTAAAAGGTACTTCCGCAGCTAAGCCAGATATGCAACTTTCATCGTTCTTGAAAGCGTGGTGACAGTCTGTTCTGACATCATCTACAGGGATCTTGTAAACGCAGCTAGGTTCACCAAACAAACGCATTTCACACAGCTGGCTCTTCCCAAGAAACTCAATAGGAACTAAGGACTCGATGATAGGCTCCTCCTTGACATCAACGTCCAACGACCACGTCTTTAAGTCAAAAGAATCAGGGGCTGTAAACAGAACTATAGGATCTTCTTTAATTTCACTGCTTTCCAAATCAAACTTTAGGGGGGTGTCAGAAGACTTCGCCTCTAGACCATGATCAGTTGGAAAACTATAGACAATGACTTGTTCATTGTTCAAACTGTCCTCGTCTTCTTCAGGAGTAGATTCAGAAGTTTCTTTGTCCGTCTCATCTTCTTCCAAGTCTTCAAAGTTGAAGTCAGTTGACTCTACTACTGCCACATCAATTTCATCTGAGATGACAACCTCTGGTTCCATATCACCTACATCAATGGTTACCCTTACAACTGGTAGAGCACGCCTAGCCTCAGTGTCATCGTCGTCTACGTTGTCTTTACTGTCAGCAATACTAACAGGTTCCAAACTCAGCGGTTGTACGGAGAGTGTCTCCTCTTCGGTTGATATTTCCTCTGGTTCAGGTTCTTTCTCTTCTTTAGAACTCCTGAAAATTCGTTTAAACCTCCCGGTCACTTTCCCAGAAATAGTCCTCACGACACCACCTTGTGGAATTGTTTCTTCTTCGACATATTGAATATTGTAATCAGGAGAGACTTCACTGCCTTTCAGATCTGATAACGAATTATTGTCATGTTCATCTGACTGCACAATCTTCTCTCTGTAAACAACTCTTCTAGGAACTATCTCTGTGGAAGCAGTTTCAAAACTTGCTTCTTCATCATGCTTGTCCAGACTGTCTTTGTCGTCTTCAGGAGTAGAGTCAGAAGTTTCTTTGTCCGTCTCATCTTCTTCCAATCTTTCAAAGTTGAAGTCAGTTGACTCTACTACTGCCACATCAATTTCATCTGAGATGACAACCTCTGGTTCCATATCACCTACATCAATGGTTACCCTTACAACTGGTAGAGCACGCCTAGCCTCAGTGTCATCGTCGTCTACGTTGTCTTTACTGTCAGCAATACTAACAGGTTCCAAACTCAGCGGTTGTACGGAGAGTGTCTCCTCTTCGGTTGATATTTCCTCTGGTTCAGGTTCTTTCTCTTCTTTAGAACTCCTGAAAATTCGTTTAAACCTCCCGGTCACTTTCCCAGAAATAGTCCTCACGACACCACCTTGTGGAATTGTTTCTTCTTCGACATATTGAATATTGTAATCAGGAGAGACTTCACTGCCTTTCAGATCTGATAACGAATTATTGTCATATTCATCTGACTGCACAATCTTCTCTCTGTAAACAACTCTTCTAGGAACTATCTCTGTGGAAGCAGTTTCAAAAAACGCTTCTTCATCATGCTTGTCCAGACTGTCTTCGTCTTCTTCAGGAGTAGATTCAGAAGTTTCTTTGTCCGTCTCATCTTCTTCCAAGTCTTCAAAGTTGAAGTCAGTTGACTCTACTACTGCCACATCAATTTCATCTGAGATGACAACCTCTGGTTCCATATCACCTACGTCAACAGTTACCCTTACAACTGGCAGAGCACGCCTAGCCTCAGTGTCATCGTCGTCTACGTTGTCTTTACTGTCAGCAATACTAACAGGTTCCAATCTCAGCGGTTGTACGGAGAGTGTTTCCTCTTCGGTCAATATTTCCTTTGGTTCAGGTGCTTTCCCTTCTTTAGAACTTCTGAAAATTCTTTTAAACCTTCCAGTCACTTTCCCAGAAATAGTCCTCACGAAACCACCTTGTGGAATTGTTTCTTCTTCGACATATTGAATATTGTAATCAGGAGAGACTTCACTGCCTTTCAGATCTGATAACGAATTATTGTCATGTTCATCTGACTGCACAATCTTCTCTCTGTAAACAACTCTTTTAGGAACTATCTCTGTGGAAGCAGTTTCAAAAAACGCTTCTTCATCATGCTTGTCCAGACTGTCTTCGTCTTCTTCAAAAGTAGATTCAGAAGTTTCTTTGTCCGTCTCATCTTCTTCCAAGTCTTCAAACTTGAAGTCAGTTGACTCTACTAGTGCCACATCAATTTCATCTGAGATGACAACCTCTGGTTCCATATCACCTACGTCAACAGTTACCCTTACAACTGGCAGAGCACGCCTAGCCTCAGTGTCATCGTAGTCTACGTTGTCTTTACTGTCAGCAATACTAACAGGTTCCAAACTCAGCGGTTGTACGGAGAGTGTTTCCTCTTCGGTCAATATTTCCTCTGGTTCAGGTGCTTTCTCTTCTTTAGACCTTCGGAAAATTCGATTAAACCTTCCGGTCACTTTCCCAGAAATAGTCCTCACGAAACCACCTTGTGGAATTGTTTCTTCTTCGACATATTGAATATTGTAATCAGGAGAGACTTCACTGCATTTCAGATCTGATAACGAATCATTGTCATGTTCATCTGGCTGCACAATCTTCTCTCTGTAAACAACTCTTCTAGGAACTATCTCTGTGGAAGCAGTTTCAAAAGTCGCTTCTTCATCATGCTTGTCCAGACTGTCTTCGTCTTCTTCAGGAGTAGATTCAGAAGTTTCTTTGTCCGTCTCATCTTCTTCCAAGTCTTCAAAGTTGAAGTCAGTTGACTCTACCACTGCCACATCAATTTCATCTGAGATGACAACCTCTGGTTCCATATCACCTACATCAACAGTTACCCTTACAACTGGCAGAGCACGCCTAGCCTCAGTGTCATCGTAGTCTACGTTGTCTTTACTGTCAGTAATACTAACAGGTTCCAAACTCAGCGGTTGTACGGAGAGTGTTTCCTCTTCGGTCGATATTTCCTCTGGTTCAGGTGCTTTCTCTTCTTTAGAACTTCGGAAAATTCGTTTAAACCTTCCGGTCACTTTCCCAGAAATAGTCCTCACGACACCACCTTGTGGAATTGTTTCTTCTTCGACATATTGAATATTGTAATCAGGAGAGACTTCACTGCCTTTCAGATCTGATAACGAATTATTGTCATGTTCATCTGACTGCACAATCTTCTCTCTGTAAACAACTCTTCTAGGAACTATCCCTGTGGAAGCAGTTTCAAAAGTCGCTTCTTCATCATAGTTGTCCAGACTGTCTTTGTCCTCTTCAGGAATAGAGTCAGAAGTTTCTTTGTCTGGCTCATCTTCTTCCAAGTCTTCAAAGTAGAAGTCAGTTGACTCTACTACTGCCACATCAATTTCATCTGAGATGACAACCTCTGGTTCCATATCACCTACATCAACAGTTACCCTTACAACTGGCAGAGCACGCCTAGCCTCAGTGTCATCGTCGTCTACGTTGTCTTTACTGTCAGCAATACTAACAGGTTCCAAACTCAGCGGTTGTACGGAGAGTGTTTCCTTTTCGGTCGATATTTCCTCTGGTTCAGGTGCTTTCTCTTCTTTAGAACTTCGGAAAATTCGTTTAAACCTTCCGGCCACTTTCCCAGAAATAGTCCTCACGAAACCACCTTGTGGAATTGTTTCTTCTTCGACATATTGAATATTGTAATCAGGAGAGACTTCACTGCCTTTCAGATCTGATAACGAATTATTGTCATGTTCATCTGACTGCACAATCTTCTCTCTGTAAACAACTCTTCTAGGAACTATCTCTGTGGAAGCAGTTTCAAAAGTCGCTTCTTCATCATGCTTGTCCAGACTGTCTTTGTCCTCTTCAGGAGTAGATTCAGAAGTTTCTTTGTCCGTCTCATCTTCTTCCAAGTCTTCAAAGTTGAAGTCAGTTGACTCTACCACTGCCACATCAATTTCATCTGAGATGACAACCTCTGGTTCCATATCACCTACATCAACAGTTACCCTTACAACTGGCAGAGCACGCCTAGCCTCAGTGTCATCGTAGTCTACGTTGTCTTTACTGTCAGTAATACTAACAGGTTCCAAACTCAGCGGTTGTACGGAGAGTGTCTCCTCTTCGGTTGATATTTCCTCTGGTTCAGGTGCTTTCTCTTCTTTAGAACTCCTGAAAATTCGTTTAAACCTCCCGGTCACTTTCCCAGAAATAGTCCTCACGACACCACCTTGTGGAATTGTTTCTTCTTCGACATATTGAATATTGTAATCAGGAGAGACTTCACTGCCTTTCAGATCTGATAACGAATTATTGTCATGTTCATCTGACTGCACAATCTTCTCTCTGTAAACAACTCTTCTAGGAACTATCTCTGTGGAAGCAGTTTCAAAAGTCGCTTCTTCATCATTCAGCATCTTGAAAGGCAGTGAAGTCTCTTCCTGATTACATATTCAATATGTCGAAGAAGAAACAATTCCACAAGGTGGTGTCGTGAGGACTATTTCTGGGAAAGTGACCGGAAGGTTTTAAACGAATTTTCAGGAGTTCTAAAGAAGGAAAGCACCTGAACCAGAGGAAATATCGACCGAAGAGGAAACACTCCCGTACAACCGCTGAGTTTGGAACCTGTTAGTATTGCTGACAGTAAAGACAACGTAGACGACGATGACACTGAGGCTAGGCGTGCTCTGCCAGTTGAAGGGTAACTGTTGATGTAGGTGATATGGAACCAGAGGTTGTTCATCTCAGATGAAATTGATGTGCAGTGTAGAGGTCAACTGACTTCAACTTTGAAGACTTGGAAGAAGATGAGACGGACCAAAGAAACTTCTGAATTACTCCTGAAGAAGGACAAGACAGTTCTGGACGAAGCATGATGAAGAAGCGACTTTTGAAAACTGCTTTCCACAGAGATAGTTCCTAGAAAGAGTTGTTTACAGAGAGAAGATTGTGCAGCCAGATGAACATGACAATATTCGTTATCAGATCTGAAAGCAGTGAAGTCTCTCCTGATTACAATATTCAATATGTCGAAGAAGAAACAATTCCACAAGGTGGTGTCGTGAGACTATTTCTGGGAAGTGACCGGGAAGGTTAACGAATTTTCGAGTCTAAAGAGAGAAAAGCACCTGAACCAGAGGAAATATCAACCGAAGAGGAGAACACTTCCGTACAACCGCTGAGTTTGGAACCTGTTAGTATTGCTGACAGTAAGACAACGTAGACGACGATGACACTGAGGCTAGGCGTGCTCTGCCAGTTGTAAGGGTAACTGTGATGTAGGTGATATGGAACCAGAGGTTGTCATCTCAGATGAAATTGATGTGGCAGTAGTAGAGTCAACTGACTTCAACTTTGAAGACTTGGGGAAGAGATAGAACGGCACAAGAAACTCTGATCTACTCCTGAAGAAGACGAAGACAGTCTGGACAAGGC